TTATTTATTTTTAATGTCAATAAACTGTCGTAAATGATTAGACTAGGTGAGAGGAGTTTTCTTTTATTATTGTTAGCATAGGCGAGTATGACCGCCTTAGGTGATTTTCAGTGGCAATGCCCTCGCCTCTGCATCCACGTTCTTGCCAATGCTTTGTGTACATTCAATGAATGGAATTTAGCTTATTCAAATACACAATTTTTATTATGCCCATAGAAAAAAAAACGTTTACATATTTTAAATTTCTTTCGAAAACAATCTTCTGCATATTTTATATTTCTTAAGAAAATTAAGGCTGATTTTATTCAAAATGTTTTTCATTTATTTATCTGCGCATTTAGAAATTGTACAGCTATATTTGCTGTAGTAATTTTTAAAAAGGTTAGAAAAATAATTTCAAAAAGTAAACAAAAAATATTCCTGTGAATTGAATGTTGTTCTTCAGTTTTCCACATTAGTATTAGTCAGTCAGTTCCTTAAATATTTAATGTTGTTTTTACAATTTAAAAATAATTATTAGAAAGGTAAAATATCGTGCCATATCGTGCCATAAAAATTAATGAATTCAGAAGAATATCAACCCTCAAGATTTAGCTGTAAAACAAAGCGTAACACAATATTGAGTGATGAGAAAATATATTGCCCTGAACACAAGTAAAAACCGTCGAGCCGTCTGAACTTTGTATATCCTGTAGCATAGGCGAACTGTTGTATTAGTATCAAGTGACGGCAAGAGTGCTTCTCAAACGCGTTTTTCTCCAAACAATGTTTTCACAATGACTCAGAAACTAGTAATCCAGTCGCTTCCAAATGTTGACACGTTTCTATGTGAATATCTTTCATATTATATCCTACAGGACTGGGGGAGTCTGGGGCACATTCGGCACTTTTTGTTTAAAGCTCTATCTCTCAGTACTTATTCTACAGATGTAAAAACATGATGGCTGGTTATTGTCCTCACATCCGCTGAATGTGCCCCAGTCTACCTTATGTTGTGTGACCCCAAGAGTTTGTAACGCCGTGAAATATTGGTCCTAAACCCACCCCTATATATACCGAACATCATATCTCGACTAACGGAGTCGATCTAGACATCTGTGTCCGTCCGTATGTCTATTATAATTTATAAATAACATACATGCCACAGTTATGGGCCAATAGCCTCGAAAATTTGGTCGCACTAGAGGCCACAATAGTGGCCCGAACGTCAAGAAATAATACACAGAGAAAGGGTTCTTACCATAGAATAAGCACGGCAGTGGGTCAAATGGACCTAGAATTTTATGCATAAAATGACAAAATTTTTATTCTGTGACATATGTTTTTACACCTGAAGGACATAGACCCGAGAAGTTGGCAGTAGTATATACAAAAGGAGTGGTTGACCTTAAATGTTATACCAATTATATTGTTGTATGCAATCGGATGTGGGAGTCATACGTAAATATTTACATGGATTCAGATTTTTTTTTCGAGGACGTAAATGTTCGCTATGAAATTTTACTAGCAGTCAGGACTACAGCTATAGTTTTGGCTGGTGATCGGATGATATTCAGGGGAGGATCTCTAATCGTCGAGAGAGTGCAAACATCCCGAAACTTTACGCAGGCTTGGTATAAAGATAGGCAGAAGGTTAGAGTACAGTAGTTCGGCCCGCTCGACTGTACTTCGGAAATTTGTCTACATAGGTCCAAATATTAATATAGCCCCCACAAAATAAATAAATTCGTAGCTACCGTGTGCCTCATCGAAATGTTAGGTTTGGACCCATGTATATTTGTACATATTGTAGAATACAGAAGGAAACGTGATAGACAGATATTTACTTCTGGTGACAAAGTGCTGCGTCGATGTATAGATGTCCATCGGTCCATACACTTCCGTAGACAAAGTAAAGTTTGCAGTTATACTGCGAATGGAAATTAGCGAAAATAGGTTAAGATTTGTCCGAAATTAGATTTAGATACAGTTTATAATTCTACGATGTTTGGTATTATGCGATTTATCGACCCACGTATGGAAATATCACCCACAAAAGGTACCAGGAAATATTCGGTATTTTGGGCTCGATTTTCTGTTAAATAATATCAATTTTTTTCGCTTTCTAAGTTGTATGTATTTTCGATGAATTTGATGTAAATGCAGCATCAAAAAACCAAAGTTTTTCGGGTTGACACTGAATTGATATTTTTGGAACGTTTTTCAATCGAATTTGGATTCAATTTGATTTTTCTGGTTTTCCAAGGGTTTCAAATCTTGCTACCGAAAATTATTGGTATAGCTCCGATATAGCGGTACCAACCCACCGACAGAAAATGCCAGTATATTTTCCCGAATATTGGAGGGTAAAACATCTTTTTGCGAAAATTGTCTTTGGTCCAATTATTGATATAATCTTCACAAAAAATCGTAACTGCCATATGTTTCATTAAAATATAAATATCAATGCGTATACCTAAAATAAAATTGTTATTTCTTTTTTTCGGAAAAATCACCAAAATTCCTCACATCAGTAGATTTTAGAAAGTTGGTATTAATGGAAAAAGCACTCACCACCAAATTCTCTCTATAACCGAATAAATTAAATCAATAGCTGTAATATTATAGTAAATCAAGCGAAAAAGCTTTATGTTCGGCCGGGCCGAACTTTGGATACCCTCTTCCATAGATATACTGACAGGTACTTGAAATGAAAATATGGGGGAAAATACCAAAAAGTGGACCTATACCGACATTCCTACAATTCGATTATGTAAACCATAATACAAATTTCAGAAATTTTTAATGGATAATTAAACCTTCAGCCTTATGGCTAATGAGGGTGTATACACTTTGACACTGTGAAAATGTGCCTCATCGAAATATTGGTTCTAGGCCCTATGTTTCTTTGGACCAAATTTGTTTTAGAAAAATTTGATTTCGTCCAAACTTTGCCCATCTTATTATTTCTTCCAAACCTAGCTCAAGTTCGAAGATGGGGAATATCGGTCCACTCCTTCTGGTACCTCCCACATAGGGACTAGGTCTAAATGCGGGTTATAGTTCACATATAATTCATTATCGAACCTTATGTTTTATCTTGATATCCTCCACTGATGAAATGATTACAACATAGTCTTAGAACCAAACCCTAAAGGCGGAACAAATTAGATAACTATTGTAATATAAGAAAGGAGGTTATATGGGGACTACCCCAAAAAGGGGGCAAATATTAATAATTTTCGGTGGGGAGGTCAAGTTCGAAGATGGGATATATCGGTCCACGTTTAGGCATAGCTCCCATATAACGGTAGCCCCCAATTATCGGTATTTTGCGGTTCTCGATCGCGTTTTTCAACCGAATTCGCTGAATTTTGGTACATTGGGTTCCTATTGGATACTAAATGCCTCCACAAAAAAACTGTATATATAGGTCCACTTTTTCTGATAGCCCCATATAACGGTACATCCTAATTTTCAGTATTTTGGGGTTTTTATCGTATTTTTCCACCGAATTAGCTGTAGTTTAGTATTTTGAGTTGTTAATAGGTACCAAATCACTCCATAAAAAATTATGAAAATAGGTAAATTTTTTTCGGATAGTCCCTATGCAAAATTTCAGAACCCTATCTCAATTCCTTCAGAAGATAGCGTGATTATAACAGACCGACGGACGGACATGGCTAGATCTTCTTAGAATTTTACCCTAATCACGAATATATATACTTTATAAGGTCGGAAATGAATATTTCGATTAGTTACAAACGGAATGACAACATTAATATACCCTCCATACCATGGTGGAGGGTATAAAAACACACATAAAATATGCACACACATATGGACGTATAAGTGTTGACAACACTCATACACACTATGGCACAGTGGTAATTTTAGAACATATCGAAAAGAGCGGTGGGATTGTTTTGGTAAAAATTTGCTGCTCCAAATTGCAGTATTATTATGTTTTTAGCCGAATTTTTCATCAAAGTGGTAATAATTTGGCTTATCGGATTCCTGGCGAATAAAAATTTATTTTAAAATAAAAAATGTAAAAAGGTTTTCTTTTTGGTATGTTTGGAACATAAATTTTTCAAAGCAATATTAAAGACCCCGACCGGCGTAGGACAATAGTTTTTATATTCAGCATCATACAGGTTTCCGTCTAAAATATCTGCAGATAAGAATATGTACAAATTTGGCAAAAAAAAATCCTCGAAATTTATATATGTCGTATAAAATCCCATCTTCCTTTCGATTGATATTGGATTAAACAATTTTCTCATTTTCGGTAAAAAGAGTAAGATGTGCAAAGTTTTAAACTAACCGAATATTCTAAATATGAAATTTTTTTGTTGGGGGCATCATAAGGGAAAGATAATTCCCATCTTCCAACATTATACGAGGCTTGGTTGAAATATTTAGTTTTGTAGTGGGTTCGTTGGGACGTATTAATACTGACAACACTCATACTCACCATGGCAATTTTACATGTCGATAGAAATGAAATGGTGCAATTATATTATAAAAATTGTATTCTCTAATTTGTTCAAATCCACAGAATTCTAACATGAACCATTCAACATTGCTATTGAATATTTTTCGTATATCATAAAGTAAAATAAACACTTTTTTTAAATTCCTTCTTCTTTAAGTTATTTTTATGCTAATGAATATTAACACATTCTGTTTTTTCTTTTCCTTCTTCTCTCCCCCTGCAATACTTTCATGCAACACATCATCCAATGGTGGACATAAATATGGTTATGGATCTGGTAAAATGACAATCTACGTACACATGTGACAATGGCACGTATGCATATGTGGCTATTTATAAATGTACATTTGTATTGGTGTCTTGTTGTGGAAACCGAAAATGAATCTGCGTTTGCTGTGTTATTGCTATTCTGCATTAAAATAATTACAAAAAAACAAAACCGTCAATGTTGTGTTGTTAACTGCGGCTCATTTTCTTCTTGAACGACAACAACAAAAACAATAATATTGTTATTATCATCATCATGGCCAATGGTATCCTGAACGTTGGACGTTATTTAAAATACCACCAACATTGTCGTCATCATCAACGCCTCATCATCTTTATGGTTGCTGCGGTTATGCCTGCCGTTGATATAATGCGTACGTCATTGTCGTCGTTATTGTTGTTGTCATGATTACCACTCTTCTCATTTGAATTGTCGAAAAAAAAATAAAATAATGACAACATGCTGGAAATGCAGATTTCTCCCGGAATAACATATCATTGGTACATCAGAGCCATTTTCGTGGACAAAATAACTTACTGGAATTGGATTTATCGAAAAATAAAATCATCACAATGGCAAGTTCGGTATTTTGTAATTTAACGGTAAGTAGAAATGAAAAAACATAAAATAAAGAAAATTTTATTATTTACATTGGTACACTGATCCTTAGCTAGGTGGGCGAAATGTCCCATTGCCTCATGGCGTCTGGACCATATTCAATAGCTTGAATACATATTTATGATGTATATTTTTAATGCAGAGAATATGAAAATATCAATCGAGTCAACTTTATAGTAGTACGGTGCCGACCATTAATGGCCTACACTACTGTCACGGATTTCTAACATTGTGCAGATCTACATTCCGAACCTGTGCAATATTTCGGGATATTTGCACCCTCTTGACCGATTAAAGGTCAAAAGACTCTCCTTTTTATGTGTCACATATTCCGAAATTTGTTTATTCAGGGCAAACATTTACGCCAGAACAAGCAGATTTGTTAACACTCTTGGATATACTGCCAACTCTTCCGATGTACATCCTTCAGGAGTAAATATGAACACCTTAGAATGCAAATTTTGTCTTTATACCCTCCACAGGGTATTATGTCTTTGTGCCTATGTTTGTAACAGGCAAAAGAAAACGAGATAGACACATCGCTACTTTCGAGAATATACATAGATTCTCTTTATAATCGATTTATGCATGTCCCTGCGCCTTTCTGTCTGTCTGTCTGTCCATGTTAAATTGTAAACAAAGTACAGATCGCATTTATGATTCGAATTGGAAGAAATTTGGCACAGCTCATTTATTTGGCGCCCAAGGACGAACCCTAATGACATTGGGAAAATCGGTTCAGATTTTGATATATCTCCTATATGTATTTTCGTCCGATTTTAGGTATTTCATGCACCAAAGTCCTTATATATCTTTCGATTTGCTCGAAATTTGGCACAGCGTACTGAACTAAGCCTAGAATCATGTGTGCTAAGTTTCGTGAAAATCGGCTCAGATTTAGATATAGCTCTCATATGTATTTTCGTCCGATTTAAGGTAAATGGTGCACCAAAGTCCCTATATATCTCTAGATTTGTACTAAATTTTACACAGCATACTGAATTGAGTCTAGAATTATGTGTGCTAAGTTTCGTAAAAATCGGTTCAGATATAGATATAGCTCACATACATATTTTTGTCCGATTTAATGTAAATGGTGCAAGTCCCCATATATCTTCCGAATTTTGCATAGGATACTTAATTAGGTCCAGAATAATGTGTGCAAATTTTCGTGAAAATCGGATCAGATTTAGATATAGCTCCCACATATATATATCCGTCCGATTTAATGTAAATGGTACATTAAACTCCTAAAGTCTGTCCGATTGTCACAAACTTTTGCACAACGTATCAAACTGAGACAAGAATGGCCGTGTGCGAAATTCCTTATATATCTTCCGATTTGAACGAAATTTGGCATAGGATACAGAATTTGATCCAGAATAATGTGTGATAATTTTCCTGAAAATCCGTTCAGATTTAGATACAGCTTCCATATATACTTTCGTCCGATTTAATATAAATGGTTCACCAAAGTCCCTATATATCTTTCGATTTGCACGAAATTTGGCGCAGCGTAAGGAATAAGGTATAGAATGATGTGTGTTAAGTTTTCTGAAAATCGATTCAGATTTAGATATAGCTCTCATATGTATTTTCGTCCGATTTAAGGTAAATGGTGCACCAAAGTCCCTATATATCTTCCGATTTGCACGAAATTTGGCACAGCGTAAGGAAGTAGGTATAGAATGATGTGTGCCAAGTTTCATAAAAATCGGTTCAGATTTGGATATAGCTCCCATATATATTTTCGTCCGATTTAAGGTAAATGGTGTACCAAAGTCCCTATATATCTTTCGATTTGCACGAAATTTGGCATAGCGTACTGAATTAAATCTAGAACGATGTTTGTTAAATTTTGTGAAAATCGGTTCAGATTTAGATTTAGCTCCCATATATATTTTCGTCCGATTTTAGGTAACTAGTGCACCAAAGTCCCTTTATATCCTTTGATTTGCATGGAATTTGGCATAGCGTATTGAGTTGAGTCTAGAGTGATGAGTGGTGAGTTTAACAACGTGGCGTACCGAATAGCATGTATCAATTTTGCTATAAATCGTTTTCCATAAATTTTCCCCATGTTACGCAGACGGCTCTAAATCTGCTCGAATGAAATTAAAGCTAGGGTAGGTTGGAGTAAGAGGGAACATAGACATGCAATTTGGCACAACGCACTAAATTAAGCCTAGAATCATCTGTGATAAGTTTCGTGAAAATCGGTTCTGATTTAGATATAGCTCTCATATGTATTTTCGTCCGATTTAAGGTAAATGGTGGACCAAAGTCCCCATATATCTCTCGATTTGTACTAAATTTTACAGAGTATACTGAATTGAGTCTAGTATTATGTGTGCTAAGTTTCGTAAAAATCTGTTCAGATTTAGATATATCTCCCATACATATTTTTGTCCGATTTAATGTAAATAGTGCACCAAAGTCCCTACATATCTTTCGACTTGGCACAGCGTAAGGAAGTAGGTATAGAATGATGTGTGTTAAGTTTCCTGAAAATCCGTTCAGATTTAGATACAGTTCTCATATATACTTTCGTCCGATTTAATATAAATGGTTCACCAAAGTCCCTATATATCTTCCGATTTGCATGAAATTTGGCACAGCGTAATGAATTAGGTCTAGAATGATGTGTGTTTTTCCTGAAAATATTTTTAACAATGAAAAATTTATATCGGTTGCAGAATGACATGTTTATGGATCCAATTTCATTTTAAAAAATGCGACGTCATAAATATACCCTGCTTTCCTTACTGGTTTTCAATATTGCCGGTCTCCGTCAAAACAGTCACGTTTATTCTTAGGACAGATCCTCTTCCCCATGTAAATTTTTCAGTTCTTCATTGTGGCCTCTGAGCGCCAAGTGATAAAAATAAAATAATTGGTCCATCCCATCCCCTTAACATTAACCGATCTAAGCAATTGCCTTTGAAAAATGGGTCTATCCTATGCCATCAAAAATTCTCCTCAACATTTTTTCTTAACGTTTATCAAAATTTCCACTTCTGAAGTTATGAACACCAATGTCATGCACAACGTTTTTATACCAAATTTGCATTGGATAAAAGGACTATCGTTATCTGCAAATAATGAATAAATTGCAATCAGAAGAAGAAGAAGAACAAAAAAATATAACAGCTGCGACAACATACCACACAACATGATATCAGCTGCATTCTTTTACTAATAAGATCATTTCACGCCACCTCAACAAATTCCATTCATGTATCCTGCAATTTTCAGTATGCATACATGTCCTTGCATTTTACCAAAGGACCTTTTCACAAACAAAATAACCAAAAATATGTAAGTCCTCACTTCCCTGCATGACAGCTTTGGCTGTTGCTGAAGTATACAAAGAAATAATTCAGTGCGGTACAAAATAAGGACGAGATAAAAAAATCCTTAATATCTTGATATTGTTTTCTGAAAATGAGATTTAATGCAACTGCTAAGGGATTTTTTCAATTTACTGACAATATTAAATCATTCTCGTTTATCTTCATAACATTGTCGCACACTCGGCAAGTATGTTCTTCAATGTTTTCGTTCTTTTTTTGGTGGTGGTGGCAAAGAATGCAGAAAACAAATTTTAATCCTTACAAAAAAAGTTTTTTGGTTGGTTGAGTGTTGGTGTGTGTGTGTACATGCGTGTGTGTGTGTGTGGAAAACTTTCAAGTATATTAAGGGCATTTTTTCAATTCTTCTCTCGTTTTCGCACTGTGTTATTTATGAGTAAAGCTTCTGGGTAAAATGTTCAGATTATGTTGTGCACTTTGCACCAGGAATCCTAGGGAAAAAAACGCCAACCAAAGAAAGTTGTTGATGTTCTGTCTTTATTTGTTTGTGTGTTTATTTCTCATTTTTTCTGGGTAAATGTATGACCCAATTAAAGTACATAAGTAGAAGTTTAAACTATTTTGTGTGTTCTTTTCGTAAAAACTTTACAATTTAACAATTAAGTGTTTGGTAGAAAAGCAACAACTATGTAGATGGGATATGAAAATCTTGTCCTTACAGACAAGAAATTTTACTTTACTGTGAATTTTCCAAAGTGAGGAGTGGATTTTGTGTAATTAAGGTATACATGTGTGTAAATAAACTATGCAATAATTTAGCTAAAAAAATAATTTCAAAAAAATCTATTAAGCTTAGATTTTTTTGAAATTATTTTTTTAGCTAAATTAGTCCTTCAATAACATGTATTTTAAAATCAAGGTTTAATGATAGCCCTTGAATAAATGATAAAAAATCAAAGCTTAATGATAGTCCATTTTAAAACCAGTAAGTAAGAAGTGAAGTCGGACTGGGCCGACTATACGCTACCCTTCACCAATTTGGGTATATTCTACATAGGTATCCTTACATTTGTATGTCAACGTTCCTTCGAAGGAACATACTCATGTCTTTCTGCAAGATATGATAAATTTAATTTCATGGGACAAATTTATGGAAAACGATTTGTAGCAAAATTGATATACGCCATTCGGCACGCCGCACTGTTAAAACTTTAATTTCAATCAGACAGCCATGCTATGGTTGCATCTACACAAATTTCAACAAAACCCAATAACGCCATTCATGTCTCAATTGCATGCGTTGTTAAAAATTTGTTCAGTTAATCGGACAAACATTGGGAATTTTTTGCACCATTTATGTAAAATCGGACGGAAATATATATGGGAGCTATACCTAAATCTGAACGGATCTACATGAAACTTAGCACACATCATTCTAGACTCAATTCAATACGCTATTCCAAATTTCGTGCAAATCGAAGAGCATATAGGGTCTTTGGTGAACCATTTACATTAAGTCGGACGAAACTATATATAAAGGAGCTATATCTAAAACTGAACCGATTTTCACGAAACTCAGCACACATCATTATATACTTAATTGAGTACGTTTTGCCAAATTTAGTGCAAATCCAAGGATATATAGGGACTTTGGTGCGCTACCTAAAATCGGACGAAAATAAATATGCGAGCTATATCTAAATCTGAATCGATTTTCACGAAACTTAGCACACGAAAATGTACATGGGAGCTATATTTAAATCTGAATCGATTTTCACGAAACATAGCACACGTCATTCTAGGCTTAGTTCAGTACGCTATGCCAAATCTCGTGCAAATCGAATCATATTTAGAGACTTTGGTGCACCATTTACCCTAAATCGGACGAAAATATATCTGAAGTGATTTTCACGGAACTTTGCACACATTGTTCTAGGCTTCATTTAATACGTTGTGCCAAATTTTGTTCAAATCGAAAAATATAAAGGGTGAGATAAAAAAAACTGCAACAAAGCCAAGCGCCATAATTTTTCCACTTTTTTAATTTTATTTAATGAAAGCCAAAATGTCGGAGATAGCGTCAAATTTTAGAATAATTGTGATTTCTTCAAATTGGTCACCTTTGAAACCATCAAACGCTGCCGGATTTTTGCTCTGCGGTAGGTGCCAAGGTGCAAGGTGCCAACCTTGCTTTCCAAAATACTCCATACACAATAGTCCAACGGATTAGTATCATGAGATGTTGGTGGCCATTATGCGCTGGAAATGAAGCGAGGAATGAGCTGTGCCAAATTTTATCAAATTCGAATCATAAATGCGACCTGTACTCTGTTTACAATTTAACATGGACAGACAGACGGACGGACATGCATATTCTTAAAGGAAACCATGTATCTCGTTTCCTTTTGCATGTTACAAACATATTCACAAAGAATAAGTATAAAAATCCACGCCGGTTGATAGTCCTTGAAATATTTAAAAGAAAACCTCGCCTATTTATAGACCTTGAAATAAATATTTAAAAAACTCCACACATATTTAAAACAAGTGAGCGGAGCAGTATAGTCGGACGTGGCCGACCATACAACTACCACAGAACTCTAATTTTCTGCGAAGTTTTATTCCGAGCCTGGGCAATAGTTCGTGTTAGCTGCACCCTCCTTCCCGATAGAAGGCCAACAGCACCTCTTCTACCTATTTGTCCATATTACTTTCACCGAAGGTTGTGTTGTGATGTTCGGCTTATAATTGTGGACTATACATTGACCAGAAAAACAAAACATACAAAACCAATATGGTCCACTTCATTTTGGTCCACTTCATTCCAAAATTATTATCTGATCATCACCGAAAATTATAGGCGTTGTCCTCGACCATAACCGGAACCTCATGAAAAATTTCAAAGCGATCAGCGCTAATTTCCGCCCTCTAGTGTGGTAATGGTTTATTAAATAATATCTGAATACGTAAGGACCTGTAAACATTTACGTGTAACTCCGAGTACATACGACAATACAACTGGTATCACTTTAAGAGCCAACCACTCCTCTTGTATATACTATCACCTTCTCTGGTCTATGTCCTTCAGGAGTACATATATACGCTAGAGAATACAAATTTTGTCATTTTTCACACAAAAGTCTGCGTTCCATTGGACCCGCTAAATATCGACCGATCTTTATCAAAATAGGCACGCTTATTCTTTGGCCCGATCCCCTTCTCCAAGTAAAAATTCGCGATGTTTGGGCCATAATTGCGGCCTCTAGAGCGACCAGAAAAATCGACAAAAATTAAGTATTTGGTATATTTCATTCCCTAAATATTAACCGATCTTTATCGAAAATAATACGGGTCTTCATTGGCCAGAACCCATCCTACATGCAAAATTTCCTGAAGATTGGTCCATAACTGTGGCCTGTATCGTGTTTACAAATTATAATGGACAGACGGACGGACGGACACACATGTCTAGATCGACTCAGCTATTCGAGATATGACGATCGGTATACTTAAAGGTGGGTCCAGGACTAATATATCACGGCGTTACAAACTTTTGGGGCTGCATAAAGCTATAATACCCTGACAACATAGTTGTGTAGGGTATAAATATATATTTGAAAAAATCTACGCCAATTTATTGTCCTTGAAAAAAATGTGTTAAAAATCCACGCCTATTTATAGTCCTTAAAAAAATATTTTAAAAAAATTTACGACTATTTAAAATCTTTGAAAAAAATTATTTTAAACATCCACGCATATTTATAATCCTTGGAAAACATATTTTAAAAATCCACGCCAATTGTAAGCCCTTGAAAAATGTATTTTATTGTATTACGAAATAATCGCTTACGGATAGTTCATCAATATTTTACAAAAATTTTACGCTTAGTGATTGTCCTTGGGAAAATAAATATTTCTGTGTTTATTGATATTTCTTTAAAAAATATATATTTTTTTTAATCCACTCTCATTGAAATTTCTTCTATAAATATTTTTAGATTAAGTTTTTTTTTCATGCCAACATTTTTGTAATCTTTTTTTTTCACCGAATTTCTTACACTTCTCCATCATCTTTGCATCTTTTCAGGAGTTACGACGCCTCAATTTGGCTGATAATTCAATTGGGGAATTGGTGCAACGCATATTTTTCATGTTAAGCAAATTGAAATATCTGGATTTGAGTGGTAATCCGTTGCAAGAGCTGCCACCAGATGTCTTTCGCGATGTGCCTGTAAGTTTTCCTTACCAATAATAAAAAAAAATGAAAACGAAATTCTTCAGCATTCCAAATAATGACAATGTAATATTTTTTCTCATTCTTCTTGTACAAAAATTCTTCTTCTTTTTTTTATTGAACAGCAACTGAAAGTATTCAAATGCCGCAACTGTCAATTGAAGAAAATCAATCCACAGCTATACAATTTATTACCACAATTGACTGAACTCGATTTGGGAAGAAATGAGGTATGAAATGTAAAAAAATAAAATGAAATGACTAAAATATTAGATTTGAAATATTTTCCCGATAATGTACAAAATTTGCCATTTTTTTAATTCTATTTTTTCTCCTTTTTGTGGCTTACAGTTTAAATTTCTTGACAAGGATGAATTTCGTGACATCAAACATTTAAGGAAACTTCAATTGGACGGTAATCAATTGTCTGTGGTTGTCGATGAACTATTCCGTTCACAGAAAAATCTTCAACATTTGGGTAAGTTTTCCTTTGACGGGGAATTCAAACACTGACAAACCATAATGTGAAAAACCCAACGGCCAATTTTTCGTTGAAGACCAAACCAAACTAAGTCTCTAAGAATAGAGAACAAATTTTGTGTTGACACAAAGTTTTCGCATAAGAAATTATTTTTAAGGATTTCGTTAGAAGTTTTTAAATAATTTTTGTTGTATGTGAATATTCGGTTGGGTTTTGGTTTGCCATTTTGGAGTTTTTCGAAAATTTTGGTTTGTGGCAAAATTTTTGAACAAGGCACAGTAGGTCATAAATAAATAATAATAAATATTGTTGGTCCTTAAAAATAGGTTTAAACCAGTAAGGAAAGTAGTAAAGTCGGACGGGGCCGACTATATGATACCCTTCACCATGTTGGGTATATTCAACGATTGAATCCTAACAGACGTCAAATTTTTGAAGGACCAGGGACAAAATTATGTAAATCAATTTAAATCTTAACCGATTTCAACTAAACTTGCCACACAATATGTTATAGTAACTTCAGTACGTAGTGCAAAATTTTGTGCCGATTGGACCCACCTTGGTGAAGCATTGATATCCAACTTCAAGGTTATTCTAACTCCAGTACTTTGTGCAAAATTAGTGTCAATTTTGTGTAAAATCGGATGTCACATTTTACATTAAATCGGACAAAAATATACATGGGGGCTATATCTAAATCTCGACCGATTTTCACGAAAGTAAACATACATCATTCTAGACCTAAATCATCACGATATGCCAAATTTCGTGGAAATCGTAGGATATATAGGGAATTTAGTACACCATTTACATAAAATCGGACGAAACTATATATGGGAGCTATATCTAAATCTGAACCGATTTTCTCGGAACTTGGTACATATCATTCTGGACCTAATTCAGTACTCTATGCCAAATTTCATGCAAATCGAATTATATATATGGACTTTGGCGCACCATTAACCTTAAATCGGACGAAACTATATATGGGAGCTATATCTAAATCTGAACCGATTTTCTCGAAACGTGGCACACATCATTCTGCACCTAATTCAGTACTCTATGCCAAATTTCGTGCAAATCGAATGATTTTCAGGGACTTTGGTGCACCATTTGCCTAAAATCGTGCGAAACTATATATGGGAGCTATATCTAAATCTGAACCGATTTGCAAGAAATTTTACACACATCATTCTAGATTTAATCCAGTTCGCAATGCCAAATTTCGTGCAAATCAGATGATATATAGGGACTTTGGCACACCATTTACCTTAAATCGGACGAAACTATATATGGCAGCTATATCTAAATCTAACCCGATTTTCACGAAACTTAGCACACATCATTCTGCACCTAATTCAGTACTCTGTGCCAAGTTTCGTGCATATCGAAAGATATAGAGGGACTTTGGTGCCCCATTTACCTTAAATCGGACGAAAATATATATGGGAGCTATATCTAAATCTGATCCGATTTTCTCGAAACTTGGCACACACCATTCTGCACCTAATTCAGTACTCTGTGCCAAGTTTCGTGCATATCGAAAGATATAGAGGGACTTTGGTGCCCCATTTACCTTAAATCGGACGAAACTATATATGGGAGCTATATCTAAATCTGAACCGATTATTTCCAATTTAAATAGGGTTCGTCCTTCGACCAAATAAGTGACTTGTGCCAAATTTCATCTAAATCGGATCATTAATGCGACCTATATTTTGTTTACAATTTAACATCTACAGACGGACGGACGGACATGCATAAATCGACTCAGAAAGTGATTCTATGCATATTCTCAAAAGGAACCATGTGTCTATCTCGTTTCCTTTTGCCTGTTACAAACATATGCACAAAGACATAATACACTGTACCACAGTGTGGTGAAGGGTATAAAAATCCACGCTTATTGATAGTCTATTAAAAAATATTTTTAAAAAATTCCACGCTTTAAAAAAAAAATATTTTTAAAAAACCACGCTTAGTTATAGTCCTTTAAAAATTATTTAAAAAAATCCACGCTTAATAACAGTCCTTGACAAAGTATTGTTAAAAAATTCACGTTTATCCTTTTAAATTTTGTTTACTTAAATAGTTTTTAAAGCACTGTGCCTGTGTTCCATTACTCCGGCCACTTTTAACAAATCTTTCAAATTTACAAAAATCTTTTTCTTATGTTAACCCTCTTTTCTCTTCTTTACATACCATTTCAAACGTATTCTTATTGTTGTTGTTGCTCTCTCTCTCTTCATTTACAGATTTGTCCTACAATCGTTTGGCCAAAGTTCCCAGCGATTCATTTCTAAGTTTGACTAATTTGACTTTTCTGGATTTGTCGTATAACAAATTGGTGCGTTTAGAACCGCAGTCAGTGAGGCGTCTCAGCCATTTGCAAACTCTGAATATAAGTGGCAACGTGCACATGAATCTCAATGAAATACGAGAGACATTTGATGTAAGTAAAACATGAAAAGTTAAGAGCCAAAAAACCAACAAAAAATAACATCATCGCCATCACCACACTACTAAGTAACATGGCAGACAATCACACTCACACATACTAACCACACACACACTTAAACACAATAAGAAAAATCACCATGAAAACCTTTTATCCATTGTCCTTCCTTCCATTGGGGGAGAGAAAACGAAAAAAAAAACAAATCAACTCATCGTAGAGACAGTTGTTGAAATACCAGAAATCCGATATAAAAATCTAATGTCACCGGAATAAAGAAATTAGAAGAACCATTTTCGAACAACAACAACAATTGTCCAGTAAAAATCAGGGCGAATATCCTTAGAAACCAAGAAATATGAGATGTCGGATTTTTTTGCGTCTGTGGTCATTTAAATGTTGACAACACTTGCATATGATTTGAGGTTATCAAATGGGTTTTTTTTCTCTGTGGGAAGAAGGAAATTATATTAAATTTCAAAACGATGATTGCTAACAGCTTGAAGTTGTCACAGGAAAAATAGATTTGATATAAAGTTTGGATGTGAAAAAAAGATTCAATGGGAGTTTCATAGATATAATGGTCTGACCAAGAACTTGGAGAATTAATTTAAGGATGAAAGCAAATACAAATTGCGTTATGTCCAAAATAAAAGTTCGGTAGGATTTCAAGGATGTTGGAGGTAAATGAACAGAACTTTAGTAGGCTTCTATATATAAAAGATAAATAATGTTGTGAAACATTAAGGGCACTTTCAACCGCATTTAATGCAATTTTGTATCTTGGGCTTTCATTGGGTAGCAAGTCTTCGTCATAAAAATATAAATTTTGGTGCACTTTTTAGGGTAACCTCCAAAAAACGGAATCTCCAAAATTTCCATGTTTTGGTGAGTTTGAAACGTCTTTCAACTAACTCTAATTTTATATTTTGGAATTTTGCAGGTAGAAAATCTCTGTACAAATAATTGTGAGTGAAGCAATATACATCTAAGTCTGTTTTTTACACGGTCTTTTTGTACACTTTTTGAAAATTGAATATTTATAATTTTTAAGACGATTTTATTTCATTTAGCACGATTTGAAATTTTATGTACTTAATTTTTTTGTCAAATTTAATTTTTGCGAAGTATGTTCATATTACAAAAAAGTGTTTATGAAAGAAAAAAGTCTGAAACCATCGATAGTATCGATAGTTTTCGAACACTAGCTTAAAGATTTAAGTGAATTCCCCTTTAGCGCGTACAAACAATTTTTACTGGTCAAAGCAAATGTGAATAGCACTAATTTAGGGGAATTCCCTTTATCTGTAAGATCAATGTCTTTTTTACACGGCTTCTTCTGGAACCAATCTACCGTGTAAAAACAGACTTAGGTGTAGTCGGACGGGGCCGACAATATGATATCCTTCCTTCCACGAAAATTTAACTTTCTTTGGTTCTATATTCTGAGCTTGGGCAATATTCCACGATATTTGCACCCTCTTGACCGACTAGAGACCAACAAATATTACTAATATGATTGTCCAGATTCCCTTCACAGTGGGTTGTGTTGTGTTGTTCGGCTTTTAAATGTGATCGTCTCGAAAAAAACACAAAAATTAAGTTTTCGGTGCACTTCATCCCAAAATTATTATCTGATCATCACCGAAAATTTTGGTTCATTTCATAACCTAAATATTAACCGGTCTTTACCAAAAACAATAGGAGTCATTCTTCGTGCAGATTGGTCCATAACTGTGGTCTGTATCGTGGAAAAGGAAATCTTTTTGATCCATAATTGTGGCCTATAATTTATTTGCTGGCAGTATTATTGAAAATGAAACGTAAATGACATAGCCCCTTTATATAAGGGTCCCCCTAAATTTTCAGTATTTTTTAAAGTTTTAGACACATTTTTCCTGTAATTTCTTATTCCTTATATTCGAAAAATATGTTTGTAGAAAATAGCCAGAAGATGAACTCGAACTATGTACATTATATAGAGAAGGTTTATGTCTCAAAGTGACCTAATTTGGCATTTCCGATTGAATTTTCCACAGCCCACCAAATTGAACGTAGAATGATTTTTATTAAGATTTGTCGAACTCGGTCGAGATGTAGACATAGTTCCAATATATATATATATATATATATATAAATTATCCCGATGGATATAATGTCTTTGTGCATATTATAGTAACAAACAAAAGAAAACGAGACCCTTGGTTCCATTTGAGAATATGCATAGAATCACTTTCTGTGTCGATTTATGCACGATAAATTTTAAATAAAGTGCAGTTAGCATTTATGGTTCGAATGAAATTAAATTTGGCACAGCTCGATTTTTAGGCCGAATGACGTACCGTATAAAAATTGGAACCAGTAAGGAAAGCAGTAAAGTCGGACTGGGCCGTCTATATGATACCTTTCACCACTTTGGGTATATTTTACATTTATGTCGTAACAGACGTCGGGTTTTTGTTATATTTCTATATCTGAACCGATTTCAGGGAAACTTGCCAGAGACTTATGTATATTATTTCAGTACGTTGTGTCAATTGGCCTAGCTATGGCCTTTTCACGAAGCATAGCAACATCATTCTAGACTTAATTCAGTACGCTATGCCAAAATTTATGCAAATCAAAAGATTTCCAGGGACTTTAGTGGACTAGTTACCTAAAATCAGAAGAAGATACATATGGGAGCTATATCTAAATCTGAACCGATTTTCACGAAACTTTGCACACATCATTCAGTACGCTATGCCAAATTTCGTGCAAATCGAAAGATTTATAGGGACTTTGGTACACCATTTGCATTATATCGGACAAAAACATATATAAAACTATATCTAAATCTGAACCGATTTTCAGGAAACTTTGCACACATCATTCTGGACTTAATTCAGTACGCTATGCTAAATTTCGTGCAAATCGAAAGATATATAGAGACTTTAGCACACCATTTACATGAAATCAGACGAAAATATATATGGGAGCTATATCTAAATCTGAACCGATTTTTCCCAATTTCAATAGGGTTCGTCCTTGGGCCGAATAAGTGACCTGTGCCAAATTTTATCCAATTCGGATTATAAATGCGACCTGTACTTTGTTTACAATTTAACATGGACAGACAGACGGACATGCATAAATCGACTCAGAAAGTGATTCAATGCATATTCTCAAAAGGAACCATGGGTCTATCTCGATTATGTTTGCCTGTTACAAACATATGCACAAAGACATAATACCCAGTACCACAGTGTGGTGAAGGGTATAAAAAATCGGTTCAGATTTTGATATACCTCTCATACATAATTTCGTCCGATTTGCTGTAAATGTTACACCAAACTCCCAATGTTTATCTGACCATAATGGACGGTCAATATTTAGCGGGTCAAATGGGCCCTGACTTTTGTGTGAAAAATGACAAAATTTGTATTCTATAGCGTATATATTTTCCCCTGAAGGAGATAGAGCCGATAAGTTGATAGTATATCCAAGAGGAGTGGTTGACCTTTAAATTGATACCAATTTTATTGCCGTATGTACTCGGGTGTGTGAGTTACACTTAAATATTTACAGGTGCTTACGTATTCAGTTATTATTTAGTAACCCATTACCACACTAGATGGCGGAAATATAGCTCGGATCGCTTTTAAATGTTTTATGAGGTTCCAGTTATGGTCAAGGACAACGCCTATAGTTTTCGGTGAGGATCAGATAATAATTTTAGGATGAATGGATCGAAAACTTTTTTTGGTTTTTTCGAGTCGATCTATAGGCCGCTGTTGAAAGCCGAACATTTCAACCCACGGTGAAGGGAATCTGGACAAGTAATTAGAAGTACTGTACTAAATATTAGTAATATTTGTTGGCCTCTAGTCGGTCAAGAGGGTGCAAATATCGCGAAATATTGCCCAGGCTCCGAATATAGAACCGCAGAAAATTAGATTTTCGTGGAGGTTGTGTAGGGTATCACATGGTCGGCTCCGTCCGACTATACTGCTTCGCTCACTGGTTTTAATTGTACTAACTTAGCTTCCATATATATTTTTTACCGTTTTTATTTAAATGATGCACCAATTTCCCAAAGCTTGACCGAGTGAAGAAATTTTGATTAGCTTTCCGAATTAAGACCCGGTTTATTGTTAAATATAGCTTTCATATTTGGTCGTCAAATATTTGTCCAAATGGTTAGCCAAACGCACAAAGTACCAAATAAATCGTATAATGTTCGACTTTCACGAAATTTTTCACAAAGTACCAAATTGAGCATAGGTGGCCATCGTTGTGCATTTTGCAATCTAAGTTTATGTAATTTCGCAATTTTGTTTCTCAAAGTTCCCCTATAAATGTCCCCTTCAGATATTTCGCAGTAGCTGAAATTTGGCTTTGGTATTGAAATAGTCCTCAGACAAATATGTAGGGCTGTATTTTGGCTCCTCTGTGTGGACGGTACAAATAATTTGGCCGAGACTTAACTACCAAAGTTTTAATTTCTTCTGCTACAGTACCTAATTTCTGACACGATTATTTTTTGGCCCGTACCGCTATATCGTGCTGTTTTTAGGGTAAATATTTCAGACAAACACTATAATTCCCCATAAAAATAGAATTTGTATGACATTTAAGGGTACACCCCCCCCCCCCCCTTCACGATTTTTTATTTTTAAGATTTTAAATGCGCTGGTAAATGAATACCAATGCTTGTTATGGTTTGTAACTTTGCACATACATATTTGAAGATTTAAAAAGGAAGAAAAATAATTTACAAAAAAATTTTGTTGTTGTTTTTTGTTATCAAAGAAAAGTCCTTATTTTTGATGGCGGGCATGATAACTCCTCACTGGAATATCGGAATCCGAAAATTCCAACGGTGTTAGAAAGAGTACATGTCTGGCTCTCGCATGAACTAGGATTATTGACCTCGCTCTAAAATTAACAAAATGGTGGACCTTTGAAAAAATATTTTTGGAAAATCGCCGATTTTTTACCAAAAACCAAGATTGGCTTTATCCTAGTTCATACGATAGCTTTACACTCACAGAGAAACGTGTAAAAATTTGAAATCGATTGGGTTATTAGTTTTTGAGTTATCGTGCCCGCCATTCGCAAAAAATGTTTAGAGAAAAACGCGTTTAAAGTTTGAGAAGCCCTTTAGCCGTCATCTTCAAGAGTTCTTGAGATTTTAACTTGAAATTTTGCAGGGACATTCGTGAATTAGTGTAGATTGAATTAGGTCAACAAAAATTTTGACCCCGAGAATTGGGGGGGGGGGTCCCCTTAAAAACATGTCGCTCATTTGCTGCATGATCGGCATAATCGCGATTTTTGTTTTAATAATGCAGAATTCTCCGCTATGTTGTGTCAAAAATCCATATGCATATGAGTCAATTGAAAACTATAAACACATTTTTTGCAAAATAGATTTATTTGATTTATGTCGGTCTTGCAACACATGATGTGGATATGTGGATTTAAGGGGTTTTGAACCCGGTTTGGGGAAAAATAAAAAAGTCTTGAATTGATCACGCTATAACTCATAATTTAGCTCTTCTTCTCTAACCAAAGTCATTTACATTGGAAATATTTTTTGGAACTTCCAACTTTGTTGTCGACTAAAATTTCACACAAAATCTATTATAACAGCGGAATATAGACGTACGAATCCTTTATTTCAATAGAGACTTTGATATCTCTTATAAAAAAGAAATTAAAATTCCAACCACGAATTCCACAAACCAATGATCCTCAAATCAAACTAAATTTTAATAAGCACATGACAATAAAATATTTGGTTAACTTTTTTTCCAAATAAAATCCCTAACCTAATCTCAGTTGGAATACCAGCAAATTAAATAAATATTTATGTATGCCCAATGATAAGAAAAACCACAAAAGTCTTTACGAGAACATTTTGTGTGTGTTTAATAATAAAATATCACTCAATATATTTTCAAACCGTTTTTTGGCAAATTGAAAGCTAAATATGTTTTCCCATGTTAAATGGGATGGGGGGAAGGGAGCAAGATACCTTTTTTGGTAAAACATAAAAAAACATTTTTATACAATACGGTGAGAAAGGTTAACAATAAACTTTTTACAAATCCCATATGGAGTTAAACACACAGAAAACACAGAAAACAACATCATCATCCTCTTAGCAATGGGGGAAAATAAAATCCTGTTAACATTTTATTTTATTTTTTTAAATCTTTTCAAGATTTGTATGCCATGCAAGGAAGCAAGGAGCTGCATAAAACCATACAAAACGATATCATCCATTACAAAAATATTTTCACATACTGTACATATTTATTTTATTATTTTATTTAAGGATATTTACCAATACCAATTCTGTTTTTCTCTTTTTTTGCTTTTTACTCATTGTTGTCTTTATTTATTTTTTTATTTCTGTTTACAGCTATTGCCGCACCTGACACATCTTTCGATTGCCGATATGAATATATTGCCGGTTGGTTTGTTAAATCCATTTAAACATTTACGTTATTTGAATATATCCGGTAATCATTTGGATGTTATGTCCTTGCAAGTCATTGAGCCCTGCCAGGAGCTAGAGGTAAGTTAATGGCCAGTCGCCACACAATGCCATGAGCATGCATACACAATAATTCCCCATGGTAACCACTACCACCAAACGCACAACAACGAGCCACACGAATAATCATAAAGTCAGGGTAAATCATGGTTTGGTGGGGATGATGCACATAAACAATTCCCAACTTTATGAACCAACACACAACACCCACAAGGCCACACTTGGAGGCTGTGCGTGTTCACCACAGATACAAAATATTCGAACATAAGGCCGACTGGCAAGACGAGAGACAGAGAAAACAATAAAATGCAATCATAAAATACTTGAGATATGTGCAAACAGCTTTTTTGTTGTTGTCGTTCTTCTTCTTCTCCTCAGTCACAACTTAACCGATATTTTCCAACATTTGCTGCAAGACACCATCGGATATTTTGCAGCCATTAAAGTCACTTATTTTTCGTTCGTTTCCTTTTTATTTTATTTTATATTATAAATTGTAAATGTGCCGCAAAGACCAAAAACAAAAATGAACGAACGAAGCATGTTATGGTCATAAATCGCATCCAGGCCATAATATGCAAATTATATATTTTCAAAGTCATATAAAAAAACAAATTTAATTTTTTTGTTTGTTTTACACATTTTTTTTTTTTGGGTTATTGTTATTTCGATGGTGTAAAAATCAAGGAAATGTGAACTTAATAGCGATTTATTATGGAAATGTGATATAAAGTAAAGATCTAATGGGTAAAATAGATTTGGTCGTATTTTACACATTAACACCTACAATATTTATAGAACGAAATCAAGAAATTGCTTATTGCACAGTGCATTAATAATTTAAGGGGTGGAAAGTTCCTTATGGAGACGAAACCCCTTGGGAGGTATATTAAGAACCTTAAAAGAAAAATCTGAATTTTTGCTGGTATATCTAAATTTTATAAAGACAATTCTTTATATCTTTTATGTGGCTATTGCAGGTTATTCAGCTTGAAATTGACATATTTGCAGCCAAATCGAATGAGGAATATCATCGTAAAAAATATGTTTTTTTTCTATCTCGAGCCCTTGGGTAGACCTGCAGCCCTTCGGTAGACCTGCAGGCAGGTCTAGTTCGAAGATGGGCTATATCGGTCCACGTTTAGGCATAACAACCCATATAAGGGTCTCTCTCAATTTTCGTTATTTTGTGGGTTTTTCAATCGAATTCCTGAAATTTTGTAAATTGGGTTCTTATTGGATACCAAATGTCTCCATTGCGGGGTTTTGTCCGTATTTTTCGACCGAATTGGCTGTAATTTTGTACTTTGAGTTTTTATTCCCCACTAAAAATTATAAATATGGGTCCATTTATTCGGGGGGTAGCCCCCCTATAAGGGTACCCCCCAAATTCCGGTATTTTGGGGTCTTCAGCGGTTTTAAACTGAATTCGCTGTAATTGGGTATTTTGTAGTCGTATATGGTAACAAATCTTCCTACCAAAAATTATTTATATTCCCCCCTTTTAAGGGTAGTCCCCATATAACCCCCTTTTTATACCCTACACCGCGAAATATTGGTCCTAAACCCACCTTTATGTATACAGATCGTCATATCTCGACTAGCTGAGTCGACATGGGTGTCCGTCCGTCTGTCTGCCCAATGAGGACCCCTATTTTTTTGGTAAAGATCGGTTAATATTTGGAGGATGAAATGGACCAAATACTTAATTTGTGTCTGATTTTCTGGTCGCAGGGAGAAGGGGATCGGGCGTAAGAATAAGCATGACTGTCGTGATAAAGGTCGGTTAATATTTAGCGGGTCAAATGGCCTCTGACTTTAGTGTGAAAAATGAAAAAATTGTATTCTAATGCGTATATATTTAAACCTGAAGGACATAGACCCGAGAAGTTGATAGTATATCCAAGAAGCGGTGGTTGACCTCTTCATTGATACCAATTATAGTGTCGTATGTACTCGGAAATGGGATTTACACTTAAATATTTACAGGTGCTTACGTATACATATATTATTTAATAACCCATTACCATACTATGGGCGAAAATATAGCCCTGATTGCTTTGAAATTTTCGACAAGGATCAAGGTATGGTCAAAGACAACGCCTATGTGATGAATTGGACCGAAAACTTAATTTTGAGTATTTTTTCGAGTATATCTTAAGGCCACAAATCAACATCACAACACAACAACGGTGAAGGGAATCTGTACTGGAATATAAGTACTATTTATACCCTACACAACTATGTGGTCAGGGTATTATAGCTTTGTTTTTGACCTCTAGTCGGTCAAGAGGGTGCAAATATCGCAAAATATTGCCCAAGCTCCGAATATAGAACCACACAAAGTAAAATTTTCGTGTAGATTATTATATGGGCGGCCTCGTCCGACTATACTGATCCACTCACTGGTTCGTTATTATTTTCTTAAACCTAATTAATACAAGTCGTGATTTTTATACCCTTCACTACACTGCGTACAGGGTATTATGTGTTTGTGCATATGTTTGTAACAGGCAAAAGGAAACGAGATAGACACATGGTTCCTTTTGAGAATATGCATAGAATCACTTTTTAAGTCGATTTATGCATGTCCGTCCGTCCGTCCGTCCGTCTGTCCGTCTGTCTGTCCATGTTAAATTGTAAACAAAGTACAGGTCGCATTTATGATCCGAATTGGATGAAATTTGGCATAGGTCACTTATTCGGCCTAAGGACGAACCCTATTGAAATTGGGAAAAATCGGTTCAGATTTAGATATAGCTCCCATATATATATTTAACCGATTTAATGTAAACGGTCCCTATATATCTTTCGATTTGCACGAAATTTGGGACAGCCTAATCATTTACGTCTAGAATGATGTCTGCCAAGTTTCATGAAAATCGGTCCAGATTTAGATATAGCTCCCATATATAGTTTCGTCCGATTTCATGTAAATGGTGCACCAAAGTCCACATATATCTTTCGATTTGCACGAAATTTGGTACAGCCTAATCATTTAGGTCTAGAATGATGTCTGCCAAGTTTCGTGAAAATCGGTCCAGATTTAGATATAGCTCCCATATATAGTTTCGTCCGATTTCATGTAAATGGTGCATCAAAAGTCCCTATATATCTTTCGATTTGCACCAATTTTGGCATAACGTACTGAATTGAGCCTAGAATTATGTCTGCCAAGTTTCGTGAAAATCGGTTCAGATTTAGATATAGCTCCCATATATAGTTTCGTCCGATTTCATGTAAATGGTGCACCAAAGTCCCTATATATCTTTCGATTTCCACGAAATTTGGCATAACGTACTGAATTGAGTCTAGAGTGATGTCTGCCAAGTTTTAAGAAAATCGGTTCAGATTTATATATACCTGCCATCAGGGACGTACGCAGGGGGGAGCCCTGGGGCCCGGGCCCACCCCCCAAAATGAATTTTTTTCACAGTAAATTTATGTTTGCAACAGCGAATTTTTTCATTTTGTACTACCGGGCCTTCCCCGAAATGAAATCCTGTGTACGTTGCTGCCTGCCATATGTAGTTTCCTCCGATTTCAGTAAATGGTGCCCCAAAGTCCCTATATATCTTTCGATTTGCACGAAATTAGGCATATCGTACTGAATTAAGCCTAGAGTGATGTCTGCCAAGTTTCGTGAAAATCGGTCCTGATTTAGATATAGCTCCAATATATAGTTTCGTCCGATTTCATGTAAATGGTGCCCCAAAGTCCCTATATATCTTTCGATTTGCACGAAATTTGGCATAACGTACTGAATTGAGCCTATATATGGGAGCCAAGTTTCGAGAAAATCGGTCTATATAGCTCCCATATATATTTCATGTTAATAGTCCTGTTTAATATACCCATAGTGGTGAAGGGTATCATATAGTCGGCCCCGTCCGACTTTACTACTTTCCTTACTGGTTTTATCTATAAATATTCTGAAATTTTTGGCGGATTCTTAGGAACTCTAATAAATTTCGCATTAGTTGTTGATATTTTAAAAGAATCGGATACGTCTGCAGATTTCATTACACCATACACGTCATTTATTTTGTCTGCTGGCAGATCAAGTTCGATAATGTGCTATATCGGTCCATGTGTTGGCATAGTCCCCAATTGGTACTGCATTTTGGTGGTTTTGAGCAAGGTTTTCAACTGAAATGTCTGTAACTTGGTATTTATAAAATTTGCCTACCAAAAATAATATTTAGTGGTCCACATTTTCGGCTAGATAAAATACTAGCGCATCCCTCTATTGTAATTTTTATCCTCCGCCATAAGGTGAAGTGTATATTAAATTTGTCATTCCGTTTGCAACACCTCGATATATTTACCCCACAAAGTATATATATTCTTGATCAGTAGAGATGGTATTTACCGGGTATTTACCGGGTAAATACCCAAGGGGTGGGTAAATACCGGGTAAATACCCATTTGCGGGTATTTATTTGGGTATTTACTATATTGACTCTGTAATACAACATCTTACACCCTATTTCCAGATTTCTGTTATCAAATCGATTTAGATTGGATAGTTTTACGATACTTTAAAGACGTGGGTAAATACTTGGGTAAATACCCGAGTTTTTACCCAAAAATTGGGTATAAACTCATTAACTGCCGAACCACTTGACATAGGCGGCCAAAACTTTGCACACATGTTTCTAATGTCAAAGCAAATATAGAAATCTAACATGGGGTCCCTGGGTCCAAGTTTTGATATAGCCCCCATATAACCATATCTCCCGATTTAAGGTATTTTTTGTTTATTAGACACATTTTACAACCAAATTGGCTGTAATTTGGCACAGAGTGCTCTTTTTGGGTACAAAATGTCCATGCCAAATTTTATGTATGTAGGTCCACGTTTACTGGTAGCCCCCATACAAAGGTACCCCTATTTTGAGTATTTACCCAAAAATTGGGTATAAACTCATTAACTGCCGAACCACTTGGCATAGGCGGCCAAAACTTTGCACACATGTTTCTAATGTCAAAGCAAATATAGAAATCTGACATGGGGTCCC